AGCGATCCGCGGGCTATAGTACTAGAGCTAATAGTTACCATGCCCATGGTACGTTCCGGTATACCGGCCATAGTTTTACACCAAAACACACAAAACCAGCTTACCTTGATTAACTAGCATAATAATTACGAGGAAGCCAAAACACGCGATTGTATTCTTAAAACCGTCCATAATGAGCAAACAAAACTGTTTTCGTATAACAGAGAATTAACAAGGCAAAGCCAAGGTCTGAATTGACGATCAGTGGCTCCGAATTCACGCATACATCGGATGCTCTAAACTCGGAAGGCGTTGTCCCTGGCGGCCTGGCGGGGTGTCAGTAGATCTATAAGCTCATAGTATATCATCAGGAGTGAATAATAGTATATTATTATTCACTCCTGATATCATATATAGACACATGTGTATATTTATTTATATACAAATATGTGTAATATTTATGGCCATAGACTAATAATAACCTAGCTAAGTTATTATTAATCGATGTTATAGCACGATATATAAGAGCACGTCCACGTGACAATGGTTACGTCTATATAATACTATCAGGAGTGTATCGATACTATCAGGAGTGTATAATAGGGATACACCTAATAATGGGGATATCCCTAAATAGTATATCCCTATTATACACTCCTGATACTATAGTATATAGGCCTAACTGTAGTTCATGTTTTAGCTCTTGATGTTATACATTTTTCCATAAACATACTTATTCAATGTAGAGATATGTTCGTGAACGCACATTGTGCATTGTAATATTTTACATTGTTATAATATGAAGAAAGGCGACAGGGAAGATAGCTGAGGGGCGGTAGAAAAAAAGGAGACTGAGTGATCGAGGGACATCGGAGGTCAAGGGGAAGGACGGGATCTCGTGGATGAAGTAAGAGTTTTGCACCCTACAAGCTAAGGCGCTCTCATAATTATAAACACAGGTCTACTGATAAAAATTAAATACATAAATATATGCTGAGATACCACCTATAACCTTCATATTCATCACAAAATATAACTCTTCTGTTTAGATATTTCGCGTGCGCTTACATGCTAACGTAGCCATGCAGATTGTGTACCGGTACTGACTGATATATGCAGCGGGCACCTTACATGGAAGTTCTTCGTCATATTTCTTAAGAGAGGTTTACTGATGGAATGGTATCATATAAATCTATGCTAGAATATACCTCCTCTCTATCTTAAATGCATAATCTTCTCAAAATTTCATTCTTCTTAGGAGATATTGCGCATGCGCTAGCACCGTTTTATGCGTGCAGTATGTACTGAAGGCAACTGCATAATATATGTTGCTAAAGGAGAGAGTGGTGGGAGACTGAAGAACGGCGGCAGAAAAGATAGCTGAGGGGCGGTAAAAAAAAGAGGCTGAGCGAGGGACATGTGAGGTAAAGGGAATGGACGGGAGTGGATGAAGTAGGAGTTTTGCACCCTACAATTAAGCTAGGGCGCGCTCTCCTAAGTATAAACACAAAACTAATGATAAAAGTTTATTGGGGAAATCTATGATGAGATACCCCCTAACTATTTTAAATGCATATTAATTACAAAATATAACTCCTCTGGTGAGATATTGCGCATGCGCTAACACACTAACGTAGCCAGATTGTGTACTGGCTAGGTATACGCAGCGGGGACCTTACATGCAAGGTCGTCCTCCTATTTCTTAAATAATGTCTACTGATGGAATGTTTTTATATAAATCTATGCTAGGATAACTCCTCTTCATTTTAAATGCATAATCTTTGCAAAATACGATTTCTCTCGGGAGATATTGCGCATGCGCGCACCGTGTTAGGCGTGCAGTGCCGTTTGAGGAAAACTTTATAAAAAAGCTTGCTGAGAGAGAGAGGCGATGGGAGACTGAGGAAAGGCGGCAGGGAAGATAGCTGGGGGCGGTAGAAGAAAAAGGGGGCCTAGCGAGGGACAGGTGAGGCAAGGGGAAGGACGCGAGGGCATAACGTAGGTGTTTTGAACACTACATGCTAGGGCGCTCTACTAATTATAAATACAGGTCTACTGATAAAAGTTTATTAGGGAAATCTCTGCTGAGATACCCCCTAACAATTTTAAATGCATATTCATCATAAAATAAAGCTCTTCTGGTGAGATATTGCTCATGCGCTAACACACTAACATAGCCAGATTGTGTACTGGCTGGTATACGCAGCGGCGACCTTACATACAAGGTCTTCCTGCTATTTCTTAAATGATGTTTATTGATGGAATGTTATCATATAAATCTATGCTAGGATAACTCGTCTTCATTTTAAATGCATAATCTTTGCAAAATACGATTTCTATCTGGATATATTGCGCATGCGCGCGCACCGTGTTAGGCGTGCAGTGCCGTCTGAGGCAAATTTCATAATATAGCTTGCTGAGGGAGAAAGGGGATGGGAGACTGAGGAAATGTGGCAGGGAAAACAGCTGGGGGCGGTAGAAGGAGGCTGAGCGCGGGACTGGGGAGGCAAGGGGAAGGACGCGAGGGCATAAAGTAGGTGTTTTGTATCCTATATGCTAGGGCGCTCTCCTAATTATAAACACAGGTCTACTGATAAAAGTTTATTAGGGAAATCTATGTTGAGATACCCCCTAACCATTTTAAATGCATATTCATCACAAAATATAACTCCTTTGGTGAGATATTGCGCATGCGCTAACACACTTACGTAGCCAGATTGTGTATTGGCTGGTATACGCAGCGGGGACCTTAAATGCAAGGTCTTCCTCCTATTTCTTAAGTGATGTCTATTGATGGAATGTTATCATATAAATCTATGCTAGGATAACTCCTCTTTATTTTAAATGCATAATCTTTGCAAAATTCGATTTCTCTCGGGAGATATTGCGCAT